GCTTTTAGGTTAGAGGCCATCGCTTCTAGGTTGGCGGCCATCGCTAGTAGTTTAGAGGTCATGGCTACTATGCCCTGTCAAGCCCCACATGAGAGGTGCTGACTTCAATGACTCCACTGTTTCTAACCCGACAGTGCCTTGATCTGGCTCATACATCGCACCCTTTGACTGTGAGTGGTGGCCCAGTAAACTTCAGCAGCATCAGCTGGCACTTCGTTTACAGTGAAGTCGTTTTCTCTGGCTGCTTGGCGCTCTGCGTCTGTCAAGAGGGTCCATAACGGCAAATCTGCAGCCCAGTGTTCTCTCTTCACCCATTGGTGGGTATTGAAATCGTACTCGCTGGGTGGTCGAAGCGGCTGATTAGTTTTCATATATGCTGCCTTCAGCTCTTTTTGTGATGAGACTGCAGCTAACAAGTAATTGCGAATTACTCGCTCCTGTTCATCTTTGGATTCGAACTTGCCTCCTTTTGCCAGAATCATGTTCAAGCTTTCCTCCGCGCAGTCATGCGTAGAGGCAGGACGCGGCACAACGGAGTACAATCTGGCTAGATTGTACGCACGCGCGTAGCCGCGGCGTTCTCCTTCCTTCAGACAGAATTCCAGCAACGTCGTCCCAAACTTGCCCTCAAGCTCGGGCGCGGAAACAAGCTCTTTCGCATCCTCCATTCCTAAGGCTGAGATGGCGTTGGGCAGTTCTTTAAAAAGATCGCGGCCGGGCTCAGGTACGAGGTTTTGGATATCGTACCATACAAGTTTTCCTCCTACTGACGCGCAATTGAATGCGTCGGCAATATCATCGGATTCTGCAAGGTTTCTGTCTTCTGCCACTCGCCCGACAGCCTCAAGAACTGGCTTGACCCTGTTCTCAAAATTGAGGACTTCATCAAAGAAATTAGGTTTGACCAAACCTATGCGAACTTCTGTCATCTCCACCGGCGCAAACTGCCTGACACCGTTGTTGTTCGCTGCGGCAGCTCATGGTCACACATCCTTCTGCTAAATCTCCTCTGGAGCTGTCTAAGCTTAGACACTTCATCAAAGGAGCTGGGAAAGTGTCTCGTGTTGCAAAAGTTGCTACTTGGAAGAAGACAATCCCTATCAGAAGGGTCGGTGAGACCCTCTTTTGGAAGAGCCCTTGTACTCTTGGACTTGCAGGAGTGCCAGATGAAGTTCTGGCTTTCGCTGGATTATCGTGGGAGGAC